CCCCCCCCTCTCTCGCCTTCTTTCCTGAGCCTCCTCCCTCTCTCTCACACACACACACGCACATACAGCACACACCCGCCGCCTAGTTTGCGGGATTACTTAGGGCGCCTGGCGGCCTGAGGCGGGCACCGCCATGCATTCAGGGGCGCCGAGTTGGGGCCTGCCACAGGGACAGGCCGACCGAGCAGAGGCCTGCAACGGAGCGACCCCACCGAAGTGAAGCCCGGGCGGGTGGAAGGCGCGGCCTGTGTGCATGCTGCTCATGATATACTGCCGCGCCATTTTCCCGGCTCCTCCCTCAGTCGGCGGGGATTCGGGGCGAGATCTGCCGGCCGGTCCCGGGGCTGGCGGACGACCCTTCGGCGCCGATGGTGGGGCCGGCGGTGCAGGCCGGCGCGGGTCAGGGCCGGCCAGAGATTAAGCGGCGGCTGTGGGCGCGCGCGCGCGCGCGCACGCCAGCGCCCTGCATGAATCCAGTCCCCCTACGGCCCGGCCCCATTGCTTCGGGGTCCGTGTGCCTGCCTGCATGGCCCCCAACCCTTGCCCCGGCTGCGGCGCCCCCTCCTCCCTCAGCCACGAAGGCGGGTGAAACGGCCCCCGGCTCCGCCGGCTCTCCCCGCGCGCCCCCCGCCCCCCCCCCCCCCGACCCTGGATGCGTGCGCGGTGCGTCACTGTGGACAAAATAACAACACCGCCTCAGGGCTCGCGTCCCGGCTCCCTCCACACCTCCTCCGCGCCCGGCCCCGCCCCGGGGGTGGACGCCAACAACAACAACAACAACAAAAACAACAAGTGCGACAATAGCTGCGGCAATATTGCCAGGTGGGGCAGGAGCGGAGTGGGGGACAGAGTCAGTACTCCCTCATGGGGAGCCCTCACGACCGGGCGTGGTCGGGAGGACCATCTCATAATGGGATGGTGAGTTTGACCATCGGCTCACATGCGCTCCAGGCGTTGCAAGGAGGGGGTGGCCGCGCGATCAGGCCCAGATTGGTGTGCTGGAAGATGGGCGTGAGCGTCTCCGCGCTGGCGCGTGCATGCGTGGGGTCGCATGCACGCGGCCGGGGGTCGGGGCACAGAATCGTCCCGGCAGCTGGGGCCCAGGGGAAGACACATCGCAAGCGAGAGAAAGAGAGAGAGAGAGAGGGAGAGAGAGAGCCACACACACACATGCGGCCCGAGCCGGACAGCAAGGCGCAGGGCAGCGTGGCGGGAACGCGGCATCCGAACTACGCTTCAAATAGCGGGCCACATCCGGCGGGAGAAGCACTGATCGGCGGGACTCCGCTGGTAAGTCGGGGCATGGATGCGCGTACGTCCTCACAGACACACACACGCACACGCACACGCTCACGCACTGAGGCACCCTGTTTTCGAGCTGGGGTGGCATTGTTTTTCCCGCCCTTGATCGGCGGCAGCACCCCCCGCCCTGCACGGCGCTCGGCCCGGAGACAGGGCGATGAAAAAAATGCGCTGCCCTCCCGACAGTCAGGGCCGGAAACCTCAATCGGGCGCGGCCGCGCACCCTTGGTTGATTGGGGCCCGCGCTCTGTTCGCGCAGACATGTGCCCGGGCGCATGTCTGCCCTGCCGGCCGTGTACCGAGGGCGGGCACACGGCGTTGCGCTCGGGTTTCCGAGGAATCGCCCTCCCTCGGCTGGCCCCCTCCCGCCCTCGCTCGCCCCTCGGCGGCATGCTTCGCTCCCCTGGGGCGAGGGGCGGGGGGAGCCCCCACGGCTGAGCTCGCGATGGTATCCCGGAAGCCCCGG